ATGAAGATGAAGATGAAGATGAAGATGAAGATGAAGATGAAGATGAATATGAACATGAACATGAACATGAACATGAACATGAACATGAAAATTAACATGAACATGAACATGAACATGAAAATGAACATGAACATGAACTTGAACATGAACATGAACATGAAGGTGTAGATAAACATAAACATAAACATTAAAAGCGATAGAGACAAAGATAGAGAGCAAGAAAGTGATAGGGATAAAAAGGAAATACAACTGAAGAATGTGCGATGTTATATTGTGCTACATATGTTATGTTATTGAATCTAATGCTATTCTATGTTATGTTATGCTAAGTACTAAGCTAAACTCCCCTCCACTTAACCCATTCCAACAAATTTTATTTCAGCTCAACTCAACTCACATAAACTATCCTTTATTTTAGCGGTTGAATTTCAACCGCTGGGCGAACACTAGTATGGATAAAACGGCAACACTGTTTATCATGCGTTGGCAACGCAATATATATTTGACATTTGTCAATTCTCTGCAACTTCGCTGCCGTGGCTGTCATTATCTGGAGTGCAAAAAAACTAAATATACCAATTACCAGGAAAATTTTATAGCGATTTTCACGTAATTTTAATTTAAGGAAAATGTCGGCACTCTTCCGCCTGGCCAATCGGAACGTCCTGCAAAACAGCATTGTGCTGCGTCTCTCACGCACCATCAAAACGTCTCAGAAAAAGGACGATACTGCCGCGGTTGTTGCGCCTACTACTAAGGAAGATTTTGCCAACCCCAATCCAAAAAACTGGGTGAGCTATGGATTCGACTACAAGGATAAAGTTAACGACCGCAACACTACAAAACTCAGCTTTTTCACAGCTGTAACGCTTTGCTTGGTTTGGGGCACATTCCTTTGGTCATATTCGCCAGATCCAATGCTGCGCGATTGGGCCCAACGAGAAGGTTATCTTGAATTGCGTCGCCGTGAAAAAGCTGGCGTCGATTTAATAAATCCCAACTACGTGGATCCCGCCTCAATTAACCTGCCATCAGACGAAGAACTTGACGGCGTAGAAATTATAATTTAAATTTACATAATTGAACTTTTTATCAAAACTAATTGTTTAAGAGAAATGCACTTGTGCTATGTTATGTAATTAAGCGAGGGAGGTTCTAAAGGGCTTCTTCAGGAATAAACGCAAATTGCACTTTCGAAGATATTGTTTTCATACATAATTTAACAAAGCGCACATTTCTGAATAAAAGTAGTTTAAAATAATTAATTGGAATTGTGCGGGTGTACGCCAGTAGTTTGAGGTTGTGTTTACCACGGTATATAGTGTTTACAAAAACGAACTAGTGGCGTTGAAAGATAACAAATCTTGACACTACAGTGTTGCATGTTGAAGTTGTATAGGGTTAAGCGGAAATTTTTGTTATAAAAAATTTTTCCATACAACTTTCAAAAACAACGTATTATAAAACAGTACTCACGCATAACAAATACCCGCAGCTACGGCCGTCGCAGATCCACCGGAGCTTCCACCAGATATATGCCATTTTTGATCGCTTAAATCTCGACTCCATACATTTCTTGTAGGTCCGAAAATTGAATCCACTGTTCCAGATCCCATAGCGAATTGATCCATGTTTGTTTTACCAATTAGAATCGCTCCAGCAGACGACAACCGTTCACAGACAGTGGCGTTGAAAGGTGGTATGAAATTCGCCAACATTCTAATATTTAATAAAAATGTTAATCTCTTTATTTTATTCAAAAAAAACTGTGTGAGCAGTTACTTTGACGCACAAGTCGTAGTTAGGTCTTTCGTACAAAAGTTATCTTTTATCGCGATCGGAACTCCATCAAGTACCCCTTGATGCTCCTTGTTCTCGTAACGATAACTAGACTCTTTAGCTTCATGTAAGGCCTTTTCCGGTGATAATCGTATAAAAGCATTCAAGTGCTTCAGTTTCACAGCATCGTCGAGTGAGTGGTCCACAACCAAACGTGGCGAAATACTACCATCCGCGTAGCAGCTCGACAGCTTAAAACGTTAAACTGATAAATTGTAAGCATGAACTAAATATTTTAATTCAAACTCACTTGTTTAATGCTCAATTGAAGATGCCGCTTCATAACTTTTCAATATTCCTTCCGCTATAAACAGTGGAACGATTGTTATCCAAGCAGCCACAAAAATAGCATAACTCAAAAACAGCTGACCCGTTTTTATTTTGCTCGTTTTTTTTTTGCTTTTATCATCGCATCTTCTTTTCGTTTCTTTTTTTCTCTGTTGACGCCTTTGACAGCCAATTGGCTTAAGCTTCTGCAATATGTAATTTTGTCCTTGCCTTAAAAGCACTTGGAAATATAATATTCTTAAAATTTTACAAAATATAGATAAATGAATCGGGAATTAGTGGAAAACATCCTGACCGTGCTTAAGACTTCTACGGACAAGAGAGTGGTCATCAAGGGTCTTGTGAAGTTGCGTACAGATGTAGTGAAGGACCAAGACGGTATCGTACTTTTCCGGCTAGCTGGTGGGGTACCACCCATGGTGCGCTTCCTCAATAAGCCACACGAAAACATTTTGGAGGTAGCCTTGAGTATTCTGGGAAACTGTTGTACAGATGAAGAAAGCTGCAAAGAGGTAAATAACTCGGTTAAATTATACAAATTCTTATTCTGTAATTTCCAATTTCAGGCACTACAGTATAAGGTGGCTTTTGCACTGACTACAATTTTGAAGTCAATTCCTAATCCTGTTATACAGTGTCGCGCCTGTCGATTGCTGGGAAATCTTGCGAAAGGATTTGCCAGCCAATTGCTTACTGCACACTGTCCTGCCATTGCCCAGGCTGTCTGTCAAATAATTACCGAAACGAGCGATGTGAATACCCGGCTCATGGCTTTTCGGGCCTGTAGATTTTTGCTACCCAGTCAACAATTCACACAACATTTCCTCGCTGCAAATGGTTTCGTAATGATGGTACGCATTTTAACTGCCGTCATGAAGACAGACGCTCCACGAACACCACAAGAAGAACTGTTCAAGAATGGAAGTGGAAGAGCACCTGTCGTTGGCCTAAAGAACAGCCAGCATCGTGAAAAATATTTTGAAGAGGTAGCACGTAATCTGGAAGGTGTACGTAGTGATATATTCGATCACGAATTGTTGAAAAACCAACCACGCTCTTTGGGTGACTACGCTATGCCAGAGGAGCGTGCAGCCTTGGATTTGGCCGGTGAAATTTTTAAATGCTTGCTCGTATTGGCTGAGCTTCCAATTGGACCATCTGCTTGGAAGGTAAGGCACAATAATTTAAAACCAAAATGTTTAATCATAATTAACAACACTTTCTAGGCGCTAAGCAGCAGTAATTGCACTTTTGCGGCAATAACGTTCTTCATTACAGAAGAAAATCCACAACGTGGAGTAGCCTTGAAAATCATTTCAAACTTCTCAAAGCAATTGGATTCATTTCACATGCTGAGTTCCGCAGATGCAGTGTTGGCCGCCTGTGAATTACTCGTTGCCGAAAATATGACAAGACCATTAACTGAAAGTGAAAAACGACATTGTATTCACATTATTTGTATGCTATCTCCAGATGCCTGCAATCGTGCCA